TTTGACATCGCTGGCATAACGCGTTTAGAAGTTATTGGCGAGAAACGGGAGGGGGGCAGATTCTGCCCCCCCCCCAGCGGGGCGCGGGTTAATAAACAATCTTCCAAACCGTTTTCTCAATGGCTCAATGCCCCTATAATTCACTCAGTCCCTAGTCCAGTGAGTCTATGACACACTGCACAGACCCCCCCTCCCCCCGTCTCGGACAACTCACGGACGCCGAGGGGGTAGGGAGGGGGGGGGGGGGCGTTCCGCGCGGCCGATTCAGGTGGGCGTCACCACGCGGTGCGGAACCGACCGAACCGGCGACTCGAGTCCTTCCTCTGAGCCGGTCAGTCCACGCTCAGGCCTCGTCACGACCGGTCCCGTCTTACGAACGCTCTCAGTCGACTACACAACTCAGCCATGGGTCTCACCGATCTCATCCGGCCCTCGGGATTCCTGAAGCTGATTCAGATCGTGAGTACACGGAGGGAAGCAATGGGGGGATGGTGACAAGTTAATCCGGTTAACTAGAGTGAAACTTCTAGCTTCATTCCGTTATAAGTTGTTCTTTACGTATAGGTATAAAACCAGACTGGGTGAGCTTTTACCCTTTTCTCTGGCAGATATAAGCAGGAAATTGCGCCTTTATGATGACATGTTTCACACTTCTATATATTCATATTCATAGCAAGTAGCAACGTTACATGGGATGGCATCAGAGACACGGGCAATATAGCATGGGGAAATTTAGGATTGTTTTGGTTGTGCTTTGGCTTAAACATTACTTATCTAGTATTTATGCACAGTGCACACTGCACACCCTTTTTGTTTTTATTCTATTTTAAAAGTACTTGATTTTTTTTCTGATGCGTCCCTATTTTCAAACCATTTTCACCTCCCTTTCATAGTTTTAACTTCGTAAATTCTCACCAATAGTTTAACGGTTGGCGATGTCATTTAATCGTCGCTTAGGCACATTACTTTAGATGATGAATTTATTCATTCTTTTAAAGGAAACAGTCCACTTTCCTGAAATCAGTATTTTGCTATTGATTTATGATTTTTTATGCTCAAAATAATCATGAAATAAAATAAAACCTTTTTGTAAAAACAATTATTTTCTTTATTTTAATATAGGGCGAACTATATTCTATGTAAAATAATGTTTGACGCGGAAGCTTATTACGCATTGACCAATCATATTGCGTAGCTCAAACCTACGAATACTGCATTGGCTGTAAGCAGCACGCTGATTGGCTGACGATGACGTGGCTGCATTCCTGTGCAAGGCACGCATTCCTCTACAAGGCACTCTTTTCGGAACGAGAAATGGAATTTCTTCGTCTAGGGTGATCGTTGAGCCGTAAAAGCTCCTGATTTGTGCTAGTCTCAGCTCAAGCTACGAAACTGCTATTCCAGCTCAAAACCCCATGTTAAAAGTGAACTATTTCCTTTAACGCAGCACTGCTTGTTTTGATATGGCAAAAACTGCCTATTTTAGCATTTATATTTCGACAGGGCATTGTTAGGTAGGCCAGCAAATTATGAAAAGTCATTCAGAATAATTGTCGATGATTTGGGCATTGCTGTAGGTAGGCTTGTTTCGTCTTTACTCGATAATTGCATATTGAGATTCTGCAACACTATATACTCTCTCCTCCTTATGCACCGTTTGAAATTTACATCTCAGGTCATAAGAGCCTATCCCGCTGTGAAGTTCAATTGTAGGAACTAAGAAAACATCCGGCGATAATAGCACGCACTAATACCAGACATACCAGGCATCACATATCAGAGTTTGGCCTTGAAGGCAGCGAGATTTCAGAGCGCCTAGTCTGCGACTTGCTCAGTCCGTTTGTGGACGCCTGTCCGGTATTGTGCAAACTGCAGCCTTTAACCCTAGAACGCCTAGGGGGGGGGGTTGTATCAACCCCCCCCCTGAGGTTTTTTCGAAGTGCACGCTAAACGGCTTGTCGTAGCGGGCTGAAATTTTCCATACCCTCTGGGGCAACCTTTGCGCATCTTTTGCCGAAAAAAAATTGATCGGGTCATGTCAGGTCACGGAGTTATGACGTCATAAGAGGTACAGCCTCCGGCCGGATTTTCACGAAGTGTGTACCGAGTCCCGAGGTTTTCTGCTGATGCTATCCACATTGTTTGATGGATCGTCATGAAACTTCCCATGCATGTTGGGGCAAGTATTGGCCATCGTGTGGTGCAAGAAACTTGACCGGGTCAGGTCAGGTCACGGAGCTATGACGTCACAAGAGGAACAGCGTCCGGTACTATTTTTGAAAAGCGCCCGAACCACTATTTTGCTAATTCTTGTCACCTCAATGGGAATATGCAGCAATATTAGCTTCTATAGGGAGCAAATGGACCTCCGAAATCCAAAAATACAATCAGATTTCAAAAATTTAAATTTTGATTTTTCGAATTTCTGCCGCCGACTGTGACCTTGCCGACTTCCGGCGCTCCCAACGCGCCATTTTTAGAGCTAGGGAAACGAAATACATACCAAACGATAGAGAATTGATCAAGGAACACGATAGTGAAGGTTTCAAGTCGATATCTCCCACCGTTTTGCCGCAATCGCCGCGGAAAGTTGAAAAAAGTCTATTTTTCGGAAAATTTGACCTTTGACCGGTCATAAGTAGGTCAAATGTTGACCTAGGACCAAAAAATATACCACCAATCGCGAGATCTCGTTGAGAGCAATCCGTTGGTTTTTTCCGCTAAGCTCTACCACCTTCCGTTTCGAAACGCCAGGGGGGGGGGTCGTAACAACCCCCCCCCTGGTCGTTCGTGTTATGAGAAATGGCCTGGTCGTGCGAGGGTTAAAAACATCGACAGCCTGCAGACGCACAGTGCAAAAACAGCGTAAGTTCAACGTACTGCACAAACTAAGAAAAATACGCTTCGGCGGCAACTGATTATAATCCAACCCACGCTATACGATACAGGATGCATGACATCATCCCTTCATCGCGTTTATTGCCGCCATTGAACAGCGTGGGAGTGAGCACCGATATCGGTTCAAGTTCAACTGCTTACTGCTGCGAGCGCCAATTTCCGCACCATTCTACCTCCGTGACCGAGCGGTAGTGGCAGGTTTTCCGCCTGGATCGCTACCATTTCCGGTTCGGTTCTGACGTGAATAGCGTGGAATGCAACGTAACGAGTAGGAAAACATGGAATAAGTGCTTACGCGACGCTCTGTATGAGAACTGCGTAGTATGTAGGTATTAGAAGACTGAGCACTTTAATGTCAAGTTAATGGACACTGGGTGCATTAAGTCATTCTTTTCTTTTTTTGCAACAACTGCTTTTACGAAAATAATGCTGAATGCATCCGTATGATGCGTTAATTTGCGATTTGGCTGCATTCTTGCATTCATGATCTGTTCGTCTCATGTAAAGTTGCCGAACTTCCGGCACTCAACACGCAACAACATCCTTTCCCCAGAAGCTGGACAAAATGCAATGTCTAATCGAATGCCAATCAAATTATGTCAGCCGTATAGGCAGTTTGGCTAATTCGCGTACTTACCTCACGTAAGCCGCGGCATGCGTGCAGCTGACCGTTTTCGATACAGCACGATGTATAGCGAATGGACCAGCACCGGATCCTTCGGCGAGCCTCCCTGTGACCTTCAGCCAATCACTCAAGGTCAAAGCCACCCAAACGCACCAGGCCGGTATGTGGCTGGAGGCGTGTCGGCGTCCGCCCGGGAGAAATTGGGCACGCGGGAACCATGGTGGGGTTCGGGTACGGGGCGAATGGAAGGCCAAACGGACAGCGAAGGTCCTGAAGGGGCGCAGGCTGAATGGGTGTGAATTCGGCGGTAGAGCTTTGAAACGTTAAGACGCCTTTGATGGTGACGTTGACTGGCGTCACGACGCGCTCGTGAGATGAGTCAAAGAGGTGTGTTTTTACCTCGATAGACGGCGCCAATCTGGTGGAGCGTGAGTGACCAGCAGCCCGTTCTGCATTAGGTCCTCGAGCTGGGTGACTCAGATGTTTTCGAGTTCATAGGCGCAATTGCGCATGTTTATGAGCGTGCGGCGGATCGTGCAGCTTGATGAGAGGATGTAAGCAAGGATTATAAGACTGTTGTTGGGTCGGATAATCCGATTTATTAACGTTTCTTACCACACCTCTTAAATTGTGTTTGTGGCATTCCTGAACGTCCTGATTATATAAAGTAACGTTTTTTTTAATTAATATAATTTCCAGTAGCAATTTTGACTCCGTCGACGTCCACCTATTTTTTCCTGACGGCCCGAAACGAAAAATCCAGATTCCAGAACGTGAAACATTCAACAGCAACTAATTCAAATTTCGAAGACGTTTAGCTCGTTCTCTATCATAAGCCTTCTTATAGGTATCTAACCATCTCGAAACCTTTAAATTTTATCACTATAAACCATGAAGCACAACAATCTAACCGGAGCAAGCATTGGTTTCTTGCCGTTTATTAGCCCGAGCCACGAACCGGTCCGACTTTTTGCACATCGAACGGGGCACGCTGGCGAGAATTAGGTGAGAACTGGTGTACTCGCGGGCTCACGCTCCACATTCTCGGGCTATTGTCGGTGTGCAGCGACTCGTTCTGGTCGAAATTCGTTCTAGTAGGTCCGGGTTTGACCAACAGGGTCCGCACTCACCAGACAATGGACAGACTGGCCCATATGTTGCCATTTGTTTACAAGAAAAAAAAGATTAATGAACGATGCAGGTGATTACCTAAAAGGAACTTCTCAAAGAAAAAAAATGACTTGCGCACAGCTGCACTTACCACCTACCACCTCACCATATAGCTTCATCATTTCGACCACTTCCTTCCTAAGCTTTTCTACCCTCGTTTCCACATCGTTCCCAGTCTGTCCGGTACCGGCTCGGTGAACCCAAGTTTGAGCTGTGGGCGGGGCCGCCCTTCTCGTCAAAATAGCCGTAGTTCGCACAGCTGCCGCCAGAGGCGCTGGCCATCACCACGCGCAGCGCAAGCGCACCGTAGCGTGGGACGGGGCCAAGACGGGGCCGCCGCCCACAACGCTTCCGTACCTCGTCGAGTGCGACCGACCCTCCACATCTAGCCATGGCCAACCTGCAGGTCCTGTGCCGGCCCTCGGGCCTTCTGAAGCTGGTGCAAATCGTAAGTGGAGATCAAAGATCGAACTTGGACGGGCCTCGGCCGATAAACGCTCTTTTAATATAACTTGCCGGGAAATTTGACTGATTTGGTTTCAAGCTTTTTTTTAAAGATTCAGTTTGACTTCGATAATAACAGAAGCATCTTTCTAAGCATGCGATTTTCCATGAGATAAAGGTATGTTTCTAGAGATCAACAAAGCCGGTGTCCCATGCGTTTTTTATTGTCTGTTTATTCATCCGACGCTAAGACTTGCTTTGTTTCTTTGTCGAGGAAGTCGACCGACCTGATTATTGTGCCAGCTTCATTTATTCGCACTAGAAGGCTGCAAAGTGCAGAAATTTTATCAGCGAACTTAGTCACACCATATGACAATGAAGGCAATGTATTACACATGGATGTTTACCTACTAAAGTAACGATGGTCAATTAGCTTCACATAATTTACCTTTTACGTACAGTCCTGATGCTTATTCGGACCCTGCAGTGCACCGCTCTTTCCACAGGAAATGCGACCATTCGTATAGTATTAGCACGAGCTCGTTACATTCGCCCGACACATTATTGCCACCCGAGATAGGATTGTCGCGTGTGCAATTTAGCTCTCGTGCCCGCCGATAATCCCTCGCGGCACCATTCCTTAGGTCTTGTAGCCCGTCCGGTAGCCCCTCAATCCCTCCCTCTACTGATAGCGGCTATCGCCCGCTGTTGACGGAACTGTGCGAGTGGGTGGAGAGATCGAGATTGGACGGCCAAGTTCACGCGCACGCTAGCGGTCCGTTTCTTCTGGGAACGGACCGCTCGCCGGCTGGCGCGAGCCCTCAGAACAGTGCTGGTGTGATCCAAGCTCGGGGCTGGCCTCCGCTGTATGTAGGCCGAACCGAATCACGAGGCACGGAACAGCCTCGATACGGCTTCTCAGCAGCGTGGTATCCTTGTTAAACAGGTGTCCAGCAAGCGCCGAGCTGTTGGGGTAGGTCGTAGATAACGCATCAAAAGAGAAAGCCGGCTTTGTTCTCGCCAGCGGGCATGCATCACCGCCGCAGCGTGACCGTATGATGGGTGACGTCACTCACGCACTAGCCACGCCGCGCCGAATCTCTCTGCCCGGGGGTGCAGTGTGACGTCACAGGTCATTTCCGCTGAGCGGCGGATGTCATGGGAGGGCGGCGGTTAGCGAGGCGTCAGCGGCGAGTGAAAGCGGCGCTTTTCAAAGGTGGAGCTGCCCCCGGGCCTCGCTGCTTGGTCTTTCCCAAACACGAATCATTGACAGTTTCCGATGCCTTTACTTTTCTACGGTATTTTTTACGTTTAACGGTCCTTTTTCTGTAATATGTTCTCTTTTTTATCTATACCTTGGTCTCATACTTTCGTCCCAATTCATTAATTCATGGTCCAGATTTGTTTCATTGTGACCGTTTCTCTTACAATGGTCCATCAGCTTTGGAATTTCACACACCCGTCTTTAGTCTGCCCTACTCTCCATTTCAATACATTCCACCGGCCATTCGGTTCCAAACCGAGGGACGGCGTCCCCGGAGTCCGCCCTGCCACCCTGTGAACAATCACCCCTCCTCACAGTGGTAGCTCAAACGGTCGCACGGGTTCACACTGAAATAGACAGGTGAATTTATAGTAGTCCCACGCTGCCACGCTGGCATCCAGGTGTTGAACTGAAGTGACACGGCGCAGCGGTAGTGAGACACATAACGTCCCATTCGTAGCTTTCATCGGTAATCGTAACGCTTATCTCAAAACGCCCGCTCGCACCGTTCGGCCTGTAGACCGTCACCCATAGCGTGTCGCTCATGACATGTCGTTTGTAGCGTTCCACCTGTAGCTTAAACCTGCAGCAATAACTCATAGCCTTCCATCATAGCGTCACACTGGCTGCGAGTCAGCCGTACGGCGACGCACCTGCGGTCCACCGGCGCCAGGGAACAAGTGGACCGTGGAGCCCAGTTCCGCCCGCGCGGACCGACCCGAGCGTGTTCCGCCGGCGGACGGGGCGGCGCATCGGCCGACCGTGGAGACGGACCGGTTGTCCGACCGTGACTCCGGTACCACGCGACGCTCCGTTAGCGTCGCGACTGGTGGCGACGTTAGATCGACGATCTGACGCTCGCGCGGCCCGCTGAAGACGGTTGCGCTGCGGGCAGAGACACTCAAACGACTCGGTTTCCAACCGGTCCCCTATGGCCAACCGCAGTTCCGCTGTAGGCGGTGCGTACCATGCGTAGCCGACTTCTGAACGCAGCCCGTTCCTCCATGCGACGGTAGCTGTTGGACCCGCCGTTAATGACCGGATACCGGTGCCGGTGAGCGGTGGACCAGGTCAACGCCCCCGGCCGAGGGAGGCGCCAGGCGCTTTGTTCCATGTTCGAATTCGTTTTTGTGAACGCTCGTTCATTGTTTCGGATTAGGGGAGGAGGAGGTGAATATTTCGTTTTCAGAATTAGATATAAGATGATGTTCTGGTTAAAGGATTAACATCTGTCCATTTGCTTGTTATGATCGATTAAGGATTGCTTGACATTCGGATGACGAACAGAGATGCGCTAAGTAGCTTCGCCGATACAGAAATGAGGTCAACGCAGTGACCAGTCCAGTTCAATACCAGAACCCAACAGACCTGTTGAACTCGCATTTATCGCACCACCGGACAGGCTGCATCGCCAGCGCGACCCGAAAATCAATACCAGCGCGGCGGTTCCCCGAAAACTCTGCCCATGTGGTCAGCGTTCTGGACTCCGGGAATCGTATCGGTGTCGACATCGGCGCGGCGGTCGGCCGGCGCGCTACCGAGCTGGCACGACCTCCGGCGGGTGCGTGACGCGCCTCCTCCCCTCCGGAGCAGGCGGCGGGCTCAAACGACTCGGAACCACAGGGCGCGCCGGCACGCTACCGCCGCCCCCGCCCCCGCCCGAACCGTCATTCGCCCCCGCCCCCTCCGCCCGGCGTAATGGTCACTTCCGACGGTCGTTTTTGAAGTAGAAAGACCTGAACCGGAAGGCATCGGCTCTTTGGGACTAACGCCAGACCTCTTTTTTCAAGTGTTTCGGATTAAAAGTTACATAGTGACTGGAGTGACTGGCTGAAGCGAGCGAAGCCGATCGGTTGGTCCGCAACGGCCGACTGCGATAACTCCGTTTTGATGACTTGAGAGATCTATGAGTGTTAAGACGATGGGCATTTTTACACAAAGGCGTAATTGTCCAGGGGCTGCCTGCATACTCACTGCAAGTGTGGAGTTTTTGATGTCCGGACTCCGGACAGAGGCAACTTGTACGGTCATCGAACATGGAGGTCGAGTGTCCACTGACTGAGGAAGCTGCAGGCACCGTGGCACGGTTCTCAAGGGAAGTAGAACACCTGCAGGTTGTAGCTTACTTATGATTTGCTTATGCAGCCATGCGTCGCGATTTATAATTTAAAGCCTTGGAAGTCCCGTTGGCCTGCCGAACTGCTTCATTATTCGGTTTAGCAGTCCATTATTCACACAGATTCCGCTGCCATCGCAAACGGTCACTCTAGCAATCATGTATCGTGGTGAATAATTACAGATACTATTATAAATTCGTGAGTATAGACCGTGCTAAATCAAGGCCTTTCAACCCCTTCGAGCTCCGACATTGGTCGCGTGCCTCACGCTATTCACCGGATCTGCATGCGAAAAACGGATGCCCATCCTGTCCCCCTGGATGCTAATTCACCCGCCTTCTCCTGATAATGGTTCGCTTGTAAAATTGGTACCTTTGTTGTCTTCTTCGGCTCGCTTGTTCGAAGTCCAGCAGGCGCTGGATAACGGTAAAGTTCATTTTATATATCGGACTGTTTATTGCTCATTGTTTGGCGACTTATCTATCTAGCATGCCTGTCGTCGTCGGCGATAATGGTCCTTTTATAAGATAATAAATCAGCCGCAAGCTTTAATTTTAGGATAAATACCAATAATAATTGTGATCCCCCAATTATTCAAAGCTCATATACCTAGTGCCCATCATTTCATAACATGTTTTAATGTTTCTGTTGATTGGATGTAGTCCCTGGGAAATTTCACACAGAACGAGTCCCATGTCCACTCTGCCATGGCGTCGACTGGGCGACAATGCGGCAGATATAGGGCACCTGGTCATACGCATTGATGTTGACCCAAGGCTTACCACGCCGTGCTTGAGCTGATACTAGCACGTGAGAGAGGAAAGTGAGGGGAGATAGCTGGCGGTTATCCGACCGATAACGTTCCTGAGGCAGGTGGCCGCCCGACGCCTCTCGATCGGTCCCTTGACGACACGTGGGTGGCAGTTAGTAGCACTGACCTCCCTGCACGCCCTCTGCCTGTTGATGGGCGTCGGGCGAGGTCGGGTCACGGTATGACCTGTTGCTGCTGCTCCTTAGGTGTTCGAGTCTACTGCGGTGGTGTGCCGTAGCCGACTCACGCCATGTTGTGGCTCGCTTTAAACGGGCTACATAACATGCACTTGTTAGTTGACGCATAATGACACAGTTTGACAATGTTGACATGTTGTCTATACATATACAACGGCTTGCATAGCAGCCGGTGCGACGCTCATTACCTCAAGCTACATGAAGCCGATATCATGATAACCGATAACAATCTAATGAAACCTCTAATCTGCGAGGACCATGGCCAAGACACTCCAAAACCTGAGCGTCGCTCGAGCCACTCCGCTCAACAATCATCCTTGCAACGTGACCCATATTTCACCACGGGCCGCCTGCAGTCCTGGTACTGAACCGCCTGGGAGGGACCGAGCTCAGTTTAACGACTCCACTGGCCGACCCGTGACGACTTCAGTCGTATAGCCGGAGCGCCGCGCAGTCGCCCGTCGCTTTGAAACGACACCCCTGGTCCGAGATGGGCCGGGGACCAATCAGGAGCCTTACGGCGACCGGTCACATCGACCGGGCCACGCCCAGTCACACGATCTGGCTGACCAGTGACCCCGCCCCCACCCCCTCCGACCTTCCCCGGCTGTCAAACGCTCTTCCGGTGTCCCCGCGCCCCGCACGGCTAATCCATAACGCACGACATTTCCACGGGCGGCACGATGCTTTGGACGTTATCAGATTAATCAGCTTTACATCATAGGTCTCTACAAATGATTCGTGTACACTGATATGAATGCTTTTCTGCGAGTGTATTGATCGTTCTATTTTATTTCACGATTGGCTGTATGATAACAAAAGGGACAAGTTTATTTGGATTTAAAAGAGCACACTTTGATTTGATCGGAGAGCGTTACTAACTCAATCATGAAAGCGGAAATAAAACCTTCTTGATTACTGGACATTGATGCAATTAATGCTTTTTACTCCGATGAAAATCGCAACCGAGCAGATACAGTGCTTCAAAACACTTTCATGGCAAACATCAGTACATACAAACGTCGGACGATGGCATGTATGCCTAACCCTCGCCCTGGCAGGGCATTTTTCATAACACGGCCTGGCAGGGGGGGGGGGGTTGATGCAACCCCCCTCGCGATTGGCTGCTATGGCACCTAGAAACACCAAATTTGGTAGGTAGGTGGGCCTCCTGGAGTTCTCGCCCCTGTGCAAATTTGGTTGCTCTAAGTCAATATTTAGGGGGTTTTAGGGGGTATAAATGTAAAAATTTCGCTAAAAACAGGTCAAAAGTTTTTCGCTTATAACTTTTGACGTAATTACGATAGAGTAAAAAAAGCACCAGTGAACTAAGCACGTCAAGGCGCGTCGAATGATATACTTTTTTGCTTGCTTAAGTGTACTTAAAATTTTCTTAATTATTAAAGGGACCCTCCCACCTTCAAAAAAGTTAATGAATTGGCACGAAAGTGATGTCGCTCGGTTCAGAAAGAGCGAAAACGAATATCTACCAAATTTCATCGAAAAATATTCACCGGTTTTCAAGATATTAGACTTTTACTTTTGTTTACTTTTTGGGATCTCCGCTGTTCCTAGCGACTTTATTTGAAAGTGCGGCATTTGTTGCGCGCAAAGCAGCATATGCCACCGCGTGCTACCAAACGTTTAAGTAAAAGATTTAAAAATCGTTAGATCTCCGCTGACGTCACAAATTCTAAGGGGGCATACCAATGCACTAGCCCCTTAGAATCCGAAAACTGCAAGTTTGAAATTCCATATCTCCGAATTAAAGCATTTGTCGATGTTGTGAGTGCCCAAACAGGTATTTGCAGGCCATGGCCACCAATTTGGCTATCTCAACTCAAAACTAATGTTAAGGTGGGAGTGTCCCTTTAAGTAAACTTTAATTTATTAATTAAGTTAAAATTAACCAAATTGCAGCATATCACATATCATTCGATTCAGCTGATCAACAGGAGCACAATGACACCATTTTTAAGCTCTAGCGTCATTGTGTGCCAAGTTATTGGCAAAAACGTCATTTGACCTCAGTTGACCTCATTTGACCTGACCCATGGATCAGTACACCAAATAAAGAACCACCAAATGGCATGCTGTTAAGTACTGTGGTTTCAAAGCACAAAAGTGATAGAACGAAGCGGATATCTCCAGTATTTTCCGAATTGAATATTTTCCCATAGGCTTAACATTACGACGTAATGACCTCTAACTGACCTCAGGTCAGTGACATAAAAAAGGAACTATATGTTATACAACTCGGCGAACTTAGCACATCCTGAAAGTTTGAAGGAAATCAGTCCAAAACTGTGAGTTGGACAGGTGCACAAAGAAAATGGAAATTTGACCATGACCTTGTACCGGTTTTTCTGAACTGGTGACCTGACCCAAGGTCACCCGGACCTGAAATTTTCAGGTCATATGTAAAAAAGTTACCCCATAGGCTGTACCAAATTTGGCTATTGCGCTATCTTTGAAAAACCTTGGGGGGGGGGGGGGGGGGGGTTGCATCAACACCCCTGCCAGGGCGAGGGTTATAAAACAATCCTACACGCTGCTCCACGTGGTTAGATATTTGTTACTTTTTGTCTAGCTAGACCCAAAGTGTATTATCGATCCCGTAGCCTCTCGATGCACCTGTGATCAGTCAGTTCAGTTCTCCATGCCTAACCACCGCCTCTCTCCCGTCTCTTCCACAGGCCATCTGCCTCACGTGCCTGGGGCTGATCCGCCAGTACGGTCTCCAGTTCGGCACCGGCGGCTGGGTGGTCGAGGGCAACCTCATCGACCGCAACCTGGTCGGCGTGATCGCCTGCGGCGGCATGGTGCTCGTCACCGCCCCGCTGCTCATCGCGCTCGTCGCCGGAGAGATCGCCATCGAAAAGTCGTTCCTGGTGGGTATGCGAAGTGGGAAGAAGATCGCCATGTTTTCCGTCGAATTATAGGAGATGCGAGATGAATCGGGTTAGATGCGAGCTCTGTTAGATACGGACTAGCAAAGTGATGCTACTTTGATAATGATATAAGGTCATTCCTAATGTGTTCAACGAAAATCAGCCGCCATTTTACTTAACGGTGGTTTTTGCTTTTGTTTTATAGAAGCGAGCTCTTTCGGCCATTGCATTGCATTGGCCATTGCAGAGCTACGGGATGATGGGGTAGGAAGTAGACATTGGGCTGTATGGGACACCGACAGTGAGCCGCGGAGGCAAGACCGTCCCGATGGGACCGGATTGCCCCGTACGGACAGTCAGCCCCCCAAACGGTTACCCGGGAGAGGGTTTACGGGTCGTGGTGTGGACCCGACCTCAACCTCCGGTTGTCAGGTGGGGTGACCGCCAGTCCGGAGAGGGAGCGTGAGGAAGGATGCGGCTGGTTTGGTCCTGAGGATGGGGAGGACGTATAATGACGGTGGTTTTACTTCACAGGAGACTCTGTACAACATTGTCGGCTTCATCATGATGATCTCGGCTGGCGCCATGGCCGTGGAGACCTACCACGATGCCGGCAAGGGAGACACGCGCGATGCCGGCCTGGCCATGGGCTCGCTGGCAATCATCAACGCTATCATCTACCTGGTGGACGCCTTCGTCGCTTTCCGTCTGAAGCGTGCCTAAATGCGCTAATCGAGCCCAGAGGTCGGAGTGATGGGAGGCTTCTCGGTGAATGTGGCGCCACCTGTACTACGCTTGGGGCGACACCTGCGTTGGCGATGACATCTATTATAACACTGGACAGTGGACATTCAGAGTCCGATATCTGAGGCAGCCGCGGAGATACATACTGTTAACGCCAGACCCCTTGAGACCAGACATGTGCATGGATCCGAGAGCTGGATCTATGATCTCAGTGGATCTCTCGACAAAATAGAGGGGTTGGATCTATGATCCGAGTGGATCTCTCGACAAAATTCAGGGGTTGGATCTATGATCCGAATGGATCTCTCGACAAAATTTAGGGGTCGGATCTATGATCTCTGTGGATCCAGCGGGCAAAATTTGTGGAGGACCTATGATCTGTATGGATCTCACGACAACATGTAGCCAATGAAACCCTTATCCTACATAATTGTACACCTTACAGTGCAATACAATTGAGAATTGTCACTTGTGGACATGGTTAAGACCAGTTGTAATCATTAGGTATCATCATTAAATTTGAATTTAAATCAACAACATTTGTACATTTAAAATAAACCAAGAACATGCACATTGCTACTTTTTGTGACCAATTGTAACTTTTTCATGACAGCACTGATGACAATCTAATCAACAAGCTACAGCCACTTTAATTCAATGAACAAACAGTACAGACAGATGCAGTGGCAGCGGGGCACTGCAGATTTTCATTTTGGTCCCATTCTTTCCATGCAACGCCAGTAGGACTTATGTTAAAATGCCAAAATCTATGGGGGGCACTGTACCCTGGTGCCACCCCCCCCCCCCTGTTCCGCCGCCTATGGACAGATGTTAGGAATCAAACCTGGAAGCCAAATAGGTCAGTTTTGTTAAAAATAATCCAGCAATCCACTTCTGCCAGGTATAAAATCCCAATCCAGAATGTTCGTATGTTGTGCAACACAATTTCGATTTAGTAAGAATAGCAACCATACCTCAAATACTTTCCTAATAAAATTACAAGTTCAAAAATGGCATCAACTTCTTCAGATTACATCTACTTTTGGCATCGTGCCACGGCCTTGGTGCCACGTGTCAGTGTGGTGCCATGCTGTGCTTTTGTTATGAGAGAGCCTCCCAAAAAAAGACAAACGCAATTCACAGCTCACGTTTTGGTAATATTGTTTTATTACGTCACTATCGTTTGACCAATGAAAAATCTTAATTTGACTAAAAGCGTAATGATTCCAAAAGATTCCCCGTAATAGGCCCTTGAAACTAATGACGTAAGATATTAAGATTCTTTTGAAAAGTGAATAAAATAAAGATGCAAGGCGCACACCCGGCTCAGTAATACCGTTTCAGCTTACGTTTACGTCATTAAATTTAACGCTACAAAGATGGTATTCACAAACAATCGTACCGCAAAATGATGTGAGGCAAAAAAAATGAACATTCTTTTGAAAAAAAACTCAAGACTTTTGAATTTCCAGTTCGATTTTTTATTTATTTTCATTATACTCGAAAGTAGAACGCTTAGCTCA